TTGATCGAGTCAAGGGCAGATAATTAAGTTTTGTTATGCTACAAAATGAATGCTTTCTGGATATAAATATTATACAGTAGAATGTAGCCATGTTATTAAATTTGAATGACATGCATTGGTCATCTTTTTCAGTCTAACAAATAAAACTTTCCTTTATTTAATGAAAGCAGAATGGAAAATAACCTGAGTGTTGTAATCAAAAACAAGAAAAATATAGATAAAAGAAAAAATAGTAAAAATTAATGATGCAACTATGAAAATAAAAAAATGAAAAATTAATTAAACAATAATGAGTACTATATTTTGCTTTCCATCCAATTCTTAACTCCTCATGCACAAATTTGAACTCAGTTATCTGATTTCAAGCCCCTATCCCTTACACTACCTGTACATCAGAGTTTTAAAAAGACTTTGGACTCAAGATTAAAGAATGTCCTGGATGACCAATTAATTCAAGAAACATTGGAAAGAAAATGCTGCAGAAGTAACATTTGAGCTAGCAGAAAAAAATTGGTAAATTTCAGTACAGAATTTAGAAGACACAGGAAGAGTTAAAAGCAAGAAAAATGGGTTCAAAAAAAAAAAAAAAAAAAAAAAAAAAAATTTGCCAGCCTATTGGGCACACACAGATTTTGGCATGGAATATTTAGAAAAAATATACACACTTAAAAAAAATAAAAATAAAAATAAAAAAATTATAACCTTATGTTTATGTAACATTCTCACTCACCATGAAGATATAATTACAGTATTTGCACAAATTATACTATTGGAATTCCAGTTGAATCCATTACATTCACTTACATGCTAATACCCTTGAGAAAGGTATGAATCCTCTTCTCTCTCCAGCTATGGGTAAATAGCAGGACAGACTGGGTTCTACAGCCTTGGATTGCAATTGGAGAAATTGGCAGAAAGAAATGGCAACCTACTGTGGGGAAAAAAATCTGCCTTGTCAGTCATGTATCAAAAGATACATGATCGCAAAAGCGTGTATCATGCATAGCACATAACTGATACTACTGATACTTTTTTTTTTTTAATAAATAGAAGTGAGGTAACATTTAATTAGAATTTTTTTGGAAAAAAAGAATTCTACTACATTTCATCATGCATTTATTGAAAATGGTTTTGTTTTTCAGGGAGCAACAAAGTAAATTAACAATGACTACAAGAAAATTTACTGGTATTAGTGAACACTGGTAGATATGGTAATAGGCAAAAAATATAAAAATATGGTACTTGTTAGTAAATATAGTCCTATATCATACATGCAGAAAAGCCAATTCTAATACCTGTATATCAATAAAAACACACACAAAGCAAGCAGCAATATACAAGTCAAGCAAATATTTCTGTAAAATCTGGAATTTCTATAAAACAAACAGCAAAATATTGTGCATTTCTATAAATTTCTTTTTCCTGGGTGAATTTTTCAGGGATATTTTTATTGATATGTTTGTTCACTTCCAGGAGTCCTAGTTTCAGAGCTAAACTCTATGCATACATGGATTCCTTTTGAACCTCTTTCTTTGTGGTCTTTATGTCCCTCTCATACATGATACTGCGGTATTGGATGCAGGGTAATTTTTTGGAAAAAATCCATGTCCAATAGGTCGGAAAATATAGTAGTTTAATTGTGACTATATCAGGATATCACTTCAACAGTTCAACCTAAACAGAATTTAGTGAGCCAAAAACTCTGCATTTCAACGGATTTAAAGAGAACAAAATTCTGGAAACTGGACAAGCAATGAAATGCTACACTGATTAATTTTTTCCATTTATATTACATATTAGAGATAATTAAAAAAAAAAAAAAAAAAAAAAAAAATCAAAACATCTTTTTTTCAACATGCAAGTTAATCAGTAATTTTGCTACATAACAATACCTATCTTCACACTACAAATGTGATGCTGAAAATCATAATAGAACTAGGATGGAAAGTTTTTCATGTTACATAAAACATTATCTTCATTCATTTTGCTCCATGCAGTATACTTTGTTTGGTCAACAAGTTGTTAAAGACATTGGAAAATTCTTCAAATAATTAATCAAAACCAGAATCATTCTTTTATGATGAAATACATACCATAAAAAAACAGGGAAAATATATTTGATGACTGATTTTATATGAAAGATTTTGTCTTAAAAAAAAAAAAAGAAAAAAACTATCTTTTTCATCAACCCAATGTGTGCTATTTTGTCTTTTTTCAAAAATTTTCCACTCAAGATATAAATAATCATCCTTCTCTACATATCGCTTTTTTTCTTTATTTTCTGTGAATTACCAAAGCGTCTTAGGAACAATAGTGGAGTAATTTCCCATTGCCTTCTCCATGGTTTGTAATTCAGAGTTTTTCTTCTTAGATTGGTTGTCACCCAAGATTAGAGTATTCAGTCAACCCCACTATTTAACCCATAGCTAGATGGAGAAGAGATTAATTCATCTTTTTCCCAAAGTCATTTGCACAAAATAACAAGGCCAGAATTTGAACCCAGATCACCAATTCCACATTCCACACCACCTGCACATCAGTTCTAGAGAACATATTTATGAGATCAATTAAAATACACTTTATTAACCACTTGGAACAGCTGATGTATTAGAAGAAATTCTTTTTGCCCTTGGTCTTCTTAGCCTGGCAGTTGATATTTTACCAATGATACATCACCTTGACAGTATACAGGAAGTTCAGAGAGTGGAGAGGTAAAAAAGTTACTTTTTATATTTATACAAGTGGACAGGGTGATTCTGGGAGGGTTCGTCTCAAACTCTGAAACTGGGACATGGAAGGTAATATCAGTCAGATAAGTGACAAACATTTTTACTTATATATATATATATATATATATATATATATATATAAGTGTGGGAAGCAAAATCTTGTCTGGGAGAAGAATAAAATAAAATTTATCCCAATACCAAATAGTTAACTTAATATAACACAAAGTGACAAATATCTAATTGCAAGTAGTTGAATAACTATATTTGTTAGAAAATAAATTAAAAAAAAAAATAAATAAAACTCATTAAAGGAATTTGTTTTATTTTGTAATTTTTTTTATTACAATTAAGAAATGCAGACAAGTTGAAAAGAGTAGGCGTTTCATAACAGCTGACCAGAAAGAGAAAGAAAAGCTTTCAGGTTGCAGTTACTTATCTGTTGTCATCATCAGCCATTGACAGATTCTTCCACATCACTTGTCATGCAAATTTCTATATACATTTTTTTTTTTTTTTTTTACCTCACATTAAACATTGAGAGAGAGAAAAAAAAACAAAAAGAAAAAAATATATTGAAAATAAAATATGCACATATCTTGTTGAAATCCACGATTCAATTTTTTTTTCCTCTCACCTCTCCATTTTTCTCCCAATCTATGCTTGAATTTTTACATCATTTTTTGTAATTTAAAAAATTATTTTTATTTGCAATTAAAGAAAAAAAAAAAAAAGAAAAATATTTTAATATTTACCCCAGACATAAAAAAGATGCAATTAAGATTAAAAAAGAAAAAATAAAGTGTAAATATTTTCCTATATTTACCTGTTTTACATCTGGTCATTGTTTTTTTTTTTAAATTAATCCCATTTACACAAAGCAAAAGACACATTTTGTGGACAATAGAAAGTTACACTGTAAACATGAAAAACTAGAAAAACAAATAATTTACAGAGAAAAAAATGAAAATACATAAATGACATCCATTTTCATAAAATATACATCTACAAACATTTAAAATAGCAAAAAACAATGAACACTTATCTTAAAAATGCTTATAACTTTTAAACTGAATTATACCCAGAAAAGAGAAATCTATTTTAAGATTTCAATGAAAGTATATTATTCACAAAGAGAAAAATCATTAAAACGTCAGTATAAAAAGGAAAATTATAGACAATTTCTTGTGTCTAAATGAAATACACAAAAGGTACAATGTAAGACTAAAAACAATCTTCAATATAACAATTTCTTTTATGATCTAATTTTTTCTCCTTTTGTTAATTGCTGCTAAGAATCAATAACCTTAATTTTTTTTTTTTTTTTTTTTAAAAAAATCAATTTTTAGATTTTTGCAAAGTACAAAGGTAGAGGAGAAAGAAAATGACACAGTTCATCAAGACACAAACAGGAATAAAAAAAAAAATACACAGAATTTATTTAAAAAAAAAAATCAACCCATGCTTTAGGTTAGCTTTACTTTTTTGGTTTTCAGTTTTTCTTTGTTATTTTTAAAACTTCTTTTAACTCAAATTAATGCCCAAATTTTTATACAAATACATTTTTTTTTTTCAAAGAGTGGTGTAAGAGTTTTCTTTTTCTGGTATACCCTATCCCATATATTGCTAGGAAATTTCATTCAATATTTTTCAGAGTATAAAAATTATAACAAAAACCTACCTGAGTATAAACAAAGAAAGTATATTTAAATTATTTTTTTGTTTTGTTAAATGGCCCACAAAAACAACTTTTTAATGCATTATAAAATAAAGGTGACAATGTTGCATCTCATCATCAATATTTTAATTTTTCTTTTCTTTGTATTTAAATATTCTACAAATTAAAATGAATTCATTATTTTTATAAAAACATTAGAACAATAATATTAATTCTACTTGATTTATGTGTATAAAGGGTTGAATAATCATCATCTAAAGCAAAACAAAAAGAAAAAAAATCTTAATATCCATCCAATAAGTTGAACATCTTCCCATCATTAATTTTTAATCTTTTGAGCAAAATTAAATCAAATGCAAATGTTTCTGGCAATAAATTTGAGATTTTTTTTCTTTTTTTTTTTTTTCATATTCAGGCATTTAATTTTTTTGGAAGGGTTTCTAGTAGAGAATTTTCTTTTTCCAGTTTCAAATTGAAAATTGTTTAATTTGAACTGTTCTTTCAGGATGCAGGAGCAATACAAACATCCTAAAAAATGTAACTGATTACAGTCACAAGTAACAAAGGATAACTTTGATACAGAGAATTAAAGTGATTCACAGGCAAAATACATGACAGTCTAGCAGAACAAGAAAAAAAAAAGATTTCATAATCCATTCCTGCAATCACTTCTTGTGACATACGCCAACATTCATCATTAAGTTTGGCTTAAGTTTTTATAATGTTGCTTTACTTATATCTTCATTTAGTGACTGATATCTGTACTGCTTGCAGTCCCACTGCAACTAGCACTACTGCTGCAAACGCCTGCATGACTTCTGATGCTGCTGCAGCTGCTGCTGGTCATGCTGCTACTTCCAGCACCAACACTGCCACCTTCTTTCTTTACCTGTTTCATATAGTTCTCCAATATCCTGACTAAGTCCAAACGGTTAATTTCATACAGAATGTTGCGTAGATCTAATATGGTGCAGTTGACGTCCGAGGCTGACCAGTCCCAAAGTAAGCTCTCACTTGGGTCCTTACAATTTTCACACGAGTTCACATGAGTCAGGGATATATTCAAGTGAGCTGTACAAAGACAAACACAGGATTTAATAAACAAAGAAAAAACAAAAAATGTTTTAATACAAAGAAAACTTTATTTCCCCTGCATTTGAAGAATATATTCTATAACTGTTTTAAGTAATCCCTAGCTTTTGTGAAAAAGAGTCACATAAAATTTTATGAACTCATGAAGACCTAGAAAAAGACAGATGTTGATCTAGATTCCAGTTGGGATTTACTTCCCTTACTGCTTGTATACTACCACAACCATGTTTCTGGATACTTAATAAATTTGACCTTTTTTTTGCTCATTAATAATTTGATAACTACGTTTTAATTAATCCTGCAACAGCTTTTTCTCTTCATCTATGTTTCTTACTTAATAACGTCTTTTTTTTTTTTTATTTGTTACCTCGTGGTAATCTCATAACATATGAATATCAAGGGGAATAACTACACTCATCCTAACACTACAAATTAAGGCTAAGGATATTGACACTAAACATAGTGAGTGAAATAAAAGGCTATTATGATTCCATCCAAAAAGTAAATATTTGCTTCTCTGTGCACGATAGCAAGTTTCTATCACAAGAATATTAATCAGTCTATGTAGAACTAAGTAAAAGAAACAGTGGCAAATCGGGTTTAAAAATATTGCTTATCAAGAGACAAAGTGGGTCAAGCCACAACTACAATGCTATCATTTAATTTGCATAATAAACAATTTTTTTTTTCTATTTTTTTTTAAATTTTAAGTAATTGGTTGGTATTTTTAAATAGTATACTGCACAATTTACACATTGCCATCCACTATAATAAAAGCAATCATTTCTGTTCACTAGATGATTGTTCAAATCTAATAATCGCTCCTGCATCCAATTCATTTAACAATAACTTTTCAATGGATAGCAACATGCATGATACCAAATTCTCCTCAGATAGTGAATTTCTTAACCTTGTTTCTATTATCTTCAGTTTTAAAATGTCTTCTGACATTGGACTTGAATAACTGATAGTGTGCAGATGACTTTATAACAGGGTTTCTACAGATCTGTGTAAAAAAAAAAATTCCAAGTCTATGTTAAGTTTTAAGGAGTGAGACTGGCGCTGGTGCACACACACACACACACAAAGTGAATGATCATCAATTTCAAAAAACAAACTTTGTGATTTATCTTTTAATAGTTTACAGTTGGTTCCAATAATCCATGCCACATGGATCAGTTGAAATCAGTGAAGAAATCAAAGTGTTGAAGGCTAAAACAACTAAATGCAGATCTGGTTATGTTACACATTTTGTGTTACATTCTACACAATTTGGAGTTCTACTAGACTTGAAAATTTTGAATTACTTTAATTCTTACTGCTACACATTTCAGCTATCTAGACTACTCATGGTTTGTGAATGTCACAAAAATTCTTGACTGATGCACACTTCCTGTAAAGTATAATGGTTTTCATCAACAGAACTACAAATAGAAATTTTCACTAAAAGTCTACACATTTTGCTACTCATGGCTTTCATTGCACATAGCACAGAACACAATGATGTTAACATTTTTTCAGTTCAGTTTCGCGTTCAGCTCCACTCCCAATATTTTGATATCTCTATGGATTTGTCCTTTGCGGATCTTTGCATGGCATGGCGATAAGTGTGAACTTGAGACTGCTCAGCTTTCTCTGCATAACTGTCAGCTGACTTTAGCAAATCTTGTATGCAACTTTGAAGTTTGTGTTTTTTGGTCTTCAGTTCTTCAAGAGTAGATATAAACGTTTATCACCAGTCTGAGAAAGACATTTGAATCACTAACACGCAAAAAATTCATATTTATATCTGGAAATATCTACTCTTTGCTTGAAGAAGCTTGTGAAACCAGAAATATGTGTAGCAGAATTATGGAAAATAGAGCATAATATATACTTTAAAATAAAAAAATCACATTTCAACCAAAAACGTTTGCAGTTTATCTTTTTAAAATATACACTTTTCTCTCATTGGAACAACTATAACCTCTATCTTTAAAAAAAGCTTCACTTGAAGATGGAACAGAGCTTGGTACTTTAATTCAATTTAATTCAAATAATTATATTGAAGTTTTCGGCTCTTGTTTTGAAATATGAGAACTCTTATGTAGCGTTGGAATCATTTTTAAATAATTTATATATATAATATATATATATATACACACACACACAAAAAAAAAATTGTCCAAATAATATAACAGCATGGGATAATTGTCCAGCCCACAAAGTGTTTAATATCTAAAAAAAAAAAAAACTAAACTAATTGAGTTTCTTTTTTCCAGGTTTTCAAATGTTTTTTAGTCATCTTGACACCATTTTTTGTAAGAATCACAGAAAAACCCTTTTGAGTTATTCAGCTAGAAAGAGAACATGTTAAAATCATTTTGTGTCAGCCGCACTACACCTTCCTAAATGTGAGATGAAAAAGATCATTCAGGCCTTCAGTAATAGTACCAACATGCATACTCTGGCTTCCATCTTCAAAGACCATTCCAGAACCATCAAAAGAATGAAGAATAAGAATAAAAAAAAGAGGGAAGAGTAGAGAGGAAAACTGGATCAAGAGGTCACAACAGCAACAGAGATCATCATTACAATTTACAGCTAAATACATTCATAATGTTCAAAGTAGAGTCCAATAGTTTTATAAAAACCTTATAGAATTCCAGTAAGATATCTTTAATCATTTCTAAGATACACGTGTCAAAGCTTAATCTAACAATTGGACAATTTTGCTGTTACACTGTGTGTGTGTGTGTATATATATATATATATATATATATATATATATATATAAGCAATGTCAAGTTGTGCATGACAATTATATCACAACTTTGTCAAAAAAATGACATTTGGGTTTTATCATTATGTGATGGTGACAAAATTTCCCACCTTAGTGGAAGACACTATCCTAGTGAAAAGGTGAACAGCAAATATTTAGAAAATTATTTGAACATTAATAAGTAAGTTGGGTTATATGAAGACACCTGGTTGGGAAAAAAAATCACATTAAAAATATTGATAGTACTTTGATTTAGTGTTGCTTTCAGAACTAAAAATTAGTTCATATATTAAAAGTAAGAAGCAGTAGTGTATTATGGTGAGAGATGCAAGAAGATGAATGTTTCAGAGACAATAACTTCTACATTGCTACTTGTCTAAAACATGTTGAAAGAGTAAGGAAAAAAAAAAAGAGGTGAAGAAAGAAACAAAAAATTCAATACAAACCAGCAATTTTCTTCCATCCATATTCTGGTCTCTCATTCAAGCCATCACATATGCATTTTATTACATTGTAGTTTGCATTAAAAACCAGAGTTTTTTCCACTGATGGCACTTGCTTTTTCTAAAAAATAAAATAAAGATTCATAAAGTTAAAAAAAAAATTATATTACATACACACACAGGTACTAATATTAAACTAGTATGTTAGCGTGGATTTTTCCCCACAGACAATACTTTTTACAATCATCACTCAAAAGATATCATCATTCATCCATTCACCTGCATCTAAAAACTTACTTTTAGAAAATTTCCCAATAAAAGAAAAAAATGTATCAATCATTTAACATTCATCTAGAATTTAATTAACTCTATAACAGGGCATCAACACTGTTTCAATATTTTATTCCATGAGAATGTCTAATGACAATTCAAAGCAGGAAATAATTAAGGTGAAAAAAAATAAATAAATAAATTCAGAGAAACTAATTAAATGCAGAGAGAAATAAGATAACATGGATTAAAAATAACAATTAAAAGCTATGAATTCAGAGGAGGCTTTAGTAAGATTTGAACCTAAAATAAACCAATTAGAATTCATTAAGATTTAATAAAACTGATCTTTCCCAAGAAAAGAGATTTATGGTTTTTTGAAATTTCCTCAAATTTCAAAGAATTTTTGATGTTTATACAAAAATACACTTAGTCTGAAATGTTCATTCCACTTTCAATATTCAGGCTCAGGGTTTGGTCTGACCACACCCTAAAAAGGGCCATGTGTTATTGAACAAAAATGATATGAATATCTTATTGAAAAATATGCAACAAATCAATGTCAAAAATGATTAAATTTCCTTATGACACAACACAGACATGATCAGAAGGACAAAGACAAGTAAAAGAGGACAGTTCCTGAGCCCACCTGTCTCACTGCTACTGCCATTAACAAACACACAGACAAGTCCAAATAAACAAGAATTCAGTACAATAATCAAGGTTCCTTATTTCACTATGAATTACTTTCCTGATTAAAAATAGTCAACTAGGCTCAAGAGGGAGATTAATAATTCTTTATGTACTTTTTAATTCTTCAGTTTTTTTTTTTCACAAACCAATAAACTCTTTTTGATCACTAACAACTGATTTGAATTAAATCAGTTGTTAGTGATCAAAAAGAGTTTATTGGTTTGTTCTGTGAAATTGGTTTTCAGCAGAGAAGTTGCCACAGCCACAGAATTTTCACACCCAAATTCTCTGTGGGAATCACAACCAGTGGGAGAAGATCAGTGACAACGTCAATAACATTACGTATTTGGTAGCACTGGGACAGGGAATGACAGGTCAACAATAGGGGGGTTTATAGCTCATCTTGCATTTAAACCATTCACAAACGAAAAAAAAAATTTTTTCTTCCTCATTTTTACATCTACAATCAAAGCATAATTTATAATAGAAAGTGAATGTCCATTGAGATTTATTTGCCTCATCAAATGGACACAGGTTTAATGTGAGAAAACTCAACCCATTTTTCATATCAGTACAACAATCAAGTACTTCTCTTACCTTTGACTGTTCAGATGGACCCTTATTGGTTGGACTTTCAAGATAGTTACATCTGACAATCAAGGGCCCACTATTTCTTTCAATCCCACAGTAAATGCATGAAGCCCGATTGCAGCGAGAATGTTCCTTTAGCATATTCAAAGGGAAAACATGTTTGCAGACATTGGTAAGTTGCCTCCAGAAGCTTATCAAAGATGCCCAGTGTTGTTCTTTGGTAAATTTATTCCTGCAAGAAAATAGAGTTTTTTTTTTTTTTAAAACTTCTTAAAACTTTGCCTTAAGTTTTATATTTAGCATATTTCTTTTTTTATTTTCAATACATAAACAAAGGATTTATAAGGCAATACTCTCAAAAACTCAGGAAATTTTAACAGCATTCATAAACTGAATTTACAATAATTCAGGCTTTTGCCACCCCACTTTGTGTGCCAAGATTTAAGCAGCATGCCTACTTTGAAGTAGATGTTAGGTAAATTTGAAGTCCCCTGCCACCCACATGTTTAAATTACTCAAGCCCTTGGAGAGGATCTTGTATACACAAACTTAATTTTCTACATGAATTTTTAAAATATTATTTTCTTAAAACTAAACAAAAAAAGAAAATGACAATAAAACTTCACTTAAATTGAATGTAAAAATGAGAAAAATCAGTCACAATAATTAAATCTTTAAGTCTTGTTTGGCTGAAAGAGCTACACCATGTAGAGAGAGACAGATGCAAAATTTATTTATGCAGGCCAATTGAGTAGCTAAGGTCAATGGATATTTTTCATTAACCCTAAGCAATTAACAATTTAGCTCAAGAAAAGAAAAAAATCTTTTCCTCCTGAGAATTCAAATCTTTAACATTTCCATTGGTGCGGACATAGACTTGTGTCTATATGAACCTTACACTGACTACTGTTGACTTATATGTGTGACATTAAGATCTCCAGAGGTTGATCAAACAAAAAGAGAAAGAGAGAAGGAAAAGAAGAGAATCTACTAATTGGATGATAATTATTGAAATTGCAGAAAGATGGATTGAAATGTGTTTAAAAATGTTTTTAAAATCCTTCCCTGCTTCCTGCCAATAAGAAAGAGACCATTAATGCTGCCTATTAGCCTTCTACCTCTTTTTGAGAGACTCCTAGAGGCCCTAATCAATAAGAGATGATAAACCAATTCAGCATTGATTAGGGCCTCTAGGAGTCTTCCAAAAGGAGGTAGAAGGCTAATAGGCAGCAAGGTATTTATTATACAGTTTAGAAAGAATAGGGGCCAGTTTGGGAGCACAAATCTTAATGACTATTACAGGGATAACATTGGGTCCACATGCTTTGTGGTTAGAGATGATAGCAGAAACGATGGAAAGAGTTATATGCATATCACTCAACAGAGATTCAGTTCTAAGTGGGAAGTTAGGCAGCAATACTCCAGATGAGTCAAGAGTAGAGTTTGAGGAGAATTTATGGGCAAAGTATTCAGCTTTATCAGCAGAGGATGATAGCACTTCAAATTGATTAAAGAGTGGGAAGGATAGAGACTTTGCACTTATTTAGTACCCTATTACAGAGATGCCAGTAATCACAAGAGCCAAAGTTGTTAGAGGTTATTACAAGCAGTAACTAATAGGCACCTGTTATGATGAGAGCTGTCACACTGGTATAACCGAAAATAGTGGTTCCTGTGTGCTATAGTGAAACAGAGAGGATTGAGGTTTCACCTGGTATTTCTGAGAAAGGATGAAAACATTCATGCCAGTCTTAAACCAAGAGACCTCAGTGGCACAATTTTCAATTGGGAGGTTGAAGATGTCAGTCCCTAGGTTGTCATTAAGAAAATCACAGAATGAGTCCCAATCAGCATGCTGGTAACAGAAAGTGGTCTTATGGATAGAGGGTTCCTGTTTAACAGATGATTGGAACGAAATATCAACAGCTTGGTAGTGGTCCAAGTTATCAAGAGGGCAGTATTGTGACTTCTGCCTAGAATCAGCGTAGTATCTGTGCACTCAGTATAATTTAGTAATTGCAAGTAAATTTTACTATGCTAATCAAGCAGAAGAATTTTGGCACAGTGATATGTGACATTACCAGTCAAACATTTGAGTCGGGTAAGATTTACTTATTACTGTATATGATGCATTCAGCAGAGAAGGGGTATATTCAACATTTGATAATTTTGCAGCAATACATACTTAAAGGTTTGAGACAGTTTTGATCAACATTTTGTTTTATGGTTAGCTGTAAGGAATTGTAAATGTATGACTACCTTACAATTTATTAAAAATTTACTACTTAAATATCAGGTTTTACAGAAATATTGGTGATAATTATGTATTTAGTTAAATAAATAAAAATAATATAAATTTTGATACTATATTCAATTTGTTGTCAGGTATTTTTCATTTTCTCCTTTGTTATTGGCAGCATTTTAGAATACTTAGGCTGCAATGCTAAGTTTCTTAAGTTGAACAAATCGGAACTATTTCATTTACGCTTTGTTACCTATCTTTTTCATTGTTGTTTTTACATCGCTTTCTTCTAGATATTTTGATGGGTAATAGCGAAATTATAAAATTTAGAATGATCTTATTCCATTTAAAAAATAAAGCCTGTGAAAAGGAATATTTTAAATTAATATGCAACCAAAAATAAAATACTTTTTGACAAAAAACCTTAATGATTTCTCTATAATTATGCAACAATAATGTAATAATATTCTGCAGACAAATCTATGGTTTATGTTACCTCATCTCATTGCATGGTTATGAATTATAAACCTAAATTCAGCTTGAAATATTGTGTAATCAGGTCTAATTTTTTGTAAAAAAATACTTGAATATGATACAATAATTTGCAGTGGAAAAAAAAAAAAAAAAAAATTTTTCATATTTTGTTGAATATGCCCCTCCTCCACCAAACACGTCATATCTGTTGGCATTATTACAGCAAAAAGTTAGACATATGTGTGACAAACTATATAGATTTAAATTTACTCAAAACATGTATCACGTGTTTTGTCATTTCTCTTTTAGTAATTAATAAAAATAAAACATTTTTTTTTTAATCCCATAACCTTTAAGGCCACCATGTGTACTGCAGTTGCAGTAGAAGTGTGTTTCTTGGACAAGCTAGCCTGACAGAGCCCAACCTTGTCTGGGCCAGGCTGGTTTTGAATTCAGAGTTTTTCCTTCTAGATCGGTTGCCACCCAAGGCTATAGAACCCAGTCTGTCCTGCTATTTACTCATAGCTTGGGGGAGGGGAAGAGAGGATTCATACCTTTCCAAGAGTATTAAGTTAATGTAATTAACTGAAATTCAAACTCAGCTCTCAGATTCCTCAATCTGAGCCACTATCCATTACTCCACTGTGCCTCTCTTTGACCAAATAATTTATTGAGTTTAAGTGAAAATATTTTTTATTTTAATTTTCATTATTAATTTTGCCAAACATTTTTGACGCATTCATTCATTTACTGTACTATTTCCATAAATAGTACAAATCAGTTATTGCATTTTTAGTAGAATTTTTAACTTTTTTTTAAATTAAGAAAGGATCTAAAAAATCGTTATCATCTTTCATCATTTATGTTAAGATAAAAAAAAAGTTATGTCAATTTAAAAGAAACCTTCCAAATTAATACAGTAGCTATTGCAGTACAATCAAATATATTTTTTTCTATTTAAAAAAACAAAAAATGCTCCTCATGTTATTTAATGACAAAAAAATAATGAACTTATAGTCAACCCAATAGATTTTAATTTTTGGATTCAATAAAACATTAACTATACTATACCATAACTTAGTAGACATTTGACATTCAATTTAACTTTGACCATAACATTGTAAAATATTTTTTCTAACAAGTATGGAAGCAGCCACAATTTTGAAATTGCAATACACAAGGTATTACATGCATTTATCATGAAATGTAAGATTATAACAGAACTTGCCAAACTTTGTACATTAGTGACACAATCTTTAAAAAATATTTTGTGAAAAGTATATAAATAAAAAAAAATGTAATAACTCAATTAAAAATTTAGTTTATAATTAATGAAAGAATAGGTAATTATTTACATTCAGATGCTGTGACACTTGAAATTGTAAAGAAATCCCAAGAACAAATGGCAACTTAATTGAAACCAAATGAACTTTCAGTGGGAGAGGAGACAATTTTTGACATCATCCATTGCAGATATGAATTATTTCACACTACTCATAAAAGAAGACACTCAAAACTGCTATGGCCATGAGATCTCTATCAAGGATGGGTTCCTCTGGAGTAGAGACCCCAAAAAATCAAGGACCCAGAATTCCCATTTATCATTGCTTTGCCATCATTGTCAGAATAATAGTATGGTAATGTTTGATGTAACAGCTGAGAAGATTGATGATCAGTGCAACAGAGTCCTGGAAAATGTTAAAAGTAGCTATGCACAAACAGTTCAATGTACACCCTTATAACAACCCCATCCAATAATCCTCTAGCTTGAGTGACTCTTAAATCTTGTATTGGATGAACAATGGTATAAAAATAACTAGAGCCAAGGGGATTCCAAATGCTGATTTTCTTGGCAAATATCCAAACTCTATTGAAAGGAAGATGTAACACCCCCCCAAAAAAAAAACTTTATTTCACTTACTGTCCCCACCCCCATTTTATTATTTTAAGAGCTAAACTAAGCTTAATAGATATCAGCAGCTGGCAAGCCTCTAAGAAGCTCTGTAGACATGCTTTGCATCTTGTGTTATAAATAAACCATTTATCACCAGAACCTAGTGTTGTCGAGACACACTGCACTGAAAATTTTGTAGTAAAAGGTTTGAGCATTTACTTCTGTTGATAAATAATTGCTGTATTTTCTTTATGCTGTTTACTTTTTTTTTAAGGGTCAAGATTGTAATAAAATATTCTATAATGTCAACTACAGTAGATGATTAAAGTCTTTCTAAAAGGTTATACTTTCTCATTCCACAGCTTAAATCAAATCAGTAAATTTGGAATCAGAAATGCTACACAGTAATGAGTACAAAGAGAATATAGAAGAAAACCAAGAAGAGAAAATGTAAACATACCTAGGGACGATTCTTATTTGTTTAATAAGAGGCCTGAATTCAAAGATAAAAACAAATTTCTCAAACAACACTTGACACAAACACAGCTGTAACTCTTGGCTGAAATCCCATCCTTGCGAATTACCAAAGCAGACAACCAATTCAAGGAAGTCTGTGCACAAAATGTTTGTTGTGAAATCAATGTAGAGCACATAAGGCGTTTCAGGCAAACTATTTAACTTTAAAGAGACATTCTGCTGAAGGAATGGAACATAATAGTTATTGGTCAAACGTTGACCGCAGCTCTTCAAACCAAAGATTACTTTGTTTGACTCAAGCACAGAAAAGATCTCTAAGGCATTTGATTCGTGTGGCTGCAGATGTTTCAAGATTAAACTGCGATGGATTAGAGTGGAAGCAACAATGAGAGACTGTTGCTGCTCCTGAATGTTGCTGCTTCTGCCAGACAAGATCGGATAGGCCATCTGTGACATGGCAGTAAGAAGAAACTCAATGTTGGCAGCAAAGTAGATACTACTGTGAGGTTGTCTACTGGGATGCAAAGCAGACCGTATTGGCCGGTCTTTCAGGTCAACTGAAATAAGAAAGAAAAATAAAAAGTTAAAAATGGTTTAATCAGATTAAATTATACTTCTATGTTTATTTATCACATGGAAAAACATTAGCATTATATAACAT